TGCTTAAGCCGGATATTTTGGCAGAATTTGCGTCTTCATAAAGAGAAATATGATTTTGGGACTGTGATAAAGTCTAGTCGGCTCATAATGCAGCCAGATCTCACTCTGTCGCATTTTTAAATGTTCATTAACATCCGTGCTTTTAAAGAAAGAGGGATTTCACCTATAAAGTGGACATTTATTTATAAAGAGACCAGAAAAAGGTCTTCTAAAAATAAACAAAAAACTCGTTGTTTGTGTTGGAAGTTAATGACAAAATTTGGACGATACGTGACAGTGATTCACACAGCACGTACAACACACATGGACAGAAATGGGACTCGGGAAATGAGATGCTCAACATGTTGGTCTCCAAGCCTGAGAGGAAAAGTTTGGGGTGAGATGGTGATGGGAGTCACCTTTGTTCTGATGGGTAATACAAAGTGTAGATGTCGTCTGCGACAGACGGAGGATTTCTCACATCCATTTGCTCTCTGTCGTAATCCAGGGACGGAAAGGAATTTCCATCTTCATCATAAACCCCACCGTCAAGTCTGGAACAAAGTAGACGTTTTGACCATCTGCTTTTCAATCTGCTCTGTGACTGAGTCCTGACAGCAGATTTAAATCTAATTTGCATATTCGATTTGAAAGCAAGTCAGACACAGTTAGACTGACACAGCGCATTGACAACAACCAACATGGTTCAAGAGTTCTTTTGGAGATTTTGTGCCATAAAAACCATGATGTCTATCCACCTGAGATGTTACTTGTTGTCCCAATTTCTATTTGCATATTATTTCTGTTATTACTGTGGCACAAATACATTTTTCCTCTAAAAACAGTTATATTTTTCACATAGCCTATTTCTACAAAACGTTTTCTGTTAATTATCTAATCACATAAATTGGCCGATTCCTGGCTGCAGGACTGACTGAGACGCTGTACTTCACTGCCCCAGCAGCCTAAATTACATTACCGCTGCTCCCTGGTAAATGTTTCTCTGCAAAATTTTCTGTGCGAGCAGCCCTATGGATTGGCTGTCAGATGCTGTTATCCAGATATCCACTAGGCTATCACAGCCACAGACATGACTAACTCTGAAGCAAATATGGTCTTGTATAGTGACACTTACAAAGTAAGTAGGAGTGTACATACCTAACACTGGCAAAGTTTAGTCCCAGAGGTGAGCAGTTGACGCTGTAATGCATTATGATTCCATAGATGACTAAGGCTAAAGTCGCTTTATTAGACATTGTCCTGCTGCAAAAGAAACAGAACGACATCAAGTGAGTCCACATGTGCGTAATTAAACTAGTCAGAGGAACAATGATTTGACGCAGTGAGGTGGATTTAGTTATTTCTTGTGATATTTAATAACTTTCATATCACAACTTTGAGTTTCTAAAAACAAAAAACAGCCACACCTGACTTTCTCCCAAACGCTCCTCACTTTTACGCAGCGTAAAAACCACCAAAAAGTGCTTCCTCTTACCAGTTGCGAGACGCTGGACGCGATACGCTGAAGACTTCGACTGGGAGAGTGAGATAGGATCTCTATCTCAGTCCCTCTCTCTTCCTCTCCTCTCCCCCTCTTTCCTCAGTGAAGCTTCTCTTCAGTCTAAAGGTGCTTGTCCCGACTGTGCAGCTCAGTTCTCGGGGATTTCTACGTGTACTCGGTCATGGGCGACCAGAAGAGCGCGAAACATTTGTCTATGGAGAACTTTCCTGGGTCCTGTAAACTTCACTCCCCTTGGATTTTTATTCATGAATCCAAAAGGCATGGCTTTTTCACTTGTCACGTCGGTAAGGGGGAGTGGAGAGGGGAGCTGGGGCTGCGTCATCGCGCCACCATCCCATTGGAGAGCATCCTTCCTCCGCGTCAATGAAAGACTGTGAGCAAGACATACAAAAAAGAAATGGCTCTTGAATTATTAAATGTATTAATTAAAGAGTAACTAATGTCAACATTTGGAGTCACGCCATAAATCGGATCACGTGTTTGAAGCCTGGTGGGAGGGAGGGAGCTGTCCAGTGCTGAAATATGACTGATAGCCTCTGTTCTAGAAAACGTTTCTCTGACTAAGACACCAGAGAGACCTCTCTGAGGCAACTGGGTTTATTTATCAGAATATGGTTAGATTGTTTCTACCCGTTTCACCATTTTAGTTACCTCTCTTAAGGGCAGAGGTCAGGCTCAGCTACTTAACCAGAGCCTAAAGTGTTATTCAGACTTTTGGGTGAATAAACATTTCAGCTCTGACCTACTGTATTGATTTTTCTTCCTTATTTTAGGCAGCATACTGTATTATGGCAGTAATAAGACGTTTCTGTTCTGTGATGTATCAACTTTGAGTTATACAGGATCGATTGTGGCTTTGTCCTAATGCATATCTCACAAAACCCATGGGATTTAGATGGTTTTTTAGCAAAAAAAAACAAAAAAAACCCATTGAACCTTAACACATGAGACACACACTTTTCAATGGAAAACCACAAAAGCTGCTACACTGTTGTTGATTTATTTATTTATGCCTTTAACATGAGCTACTGTCTTGTGGAGCTGTCCAGTGCTGAAACGTGACCGACAGCCTTTGTTGGAGAAAATGTTTCTAAAACACCAAAGAGATGCCTCTGAGGCAGGTGGCTCTATTTATCAGTATATGGTTAGATGTTTTCCCACATGTTCCTTTTTACATCCACCTTTCTGGAGATCGGTCTCAGTTACAGAAGAGACACTTAAATCATTTACAGAGTTTGAACCTGGGTCACGGGGTTGAGGGGCATTTTCCTAAATGCTGAATAACAACTACAATTTAAACCATCAAGGAATAACTTGGTGAAAAAACTCAGATACTTTACTTTAAAAGTGTAATGCAACAATTTGAAAATGCTTCATTAAAGTATTTCTTCTGCAGATAAATGGCCCCTATCAGTGATATACAGTATTATTATATAGTTAATCCTAATGCAACAATGTGAAAGAAGCATTTTACAGTTATACGTGCTTCAGGTGGAACTCATTTTATTTACTTTATATACAATTAGTTTAGTCCAGTGGTTCTCAACCTAGGAGTCGAGACCCTCCAGAGGATCACAAGATAAACTGAAAGGTTGTGAGATGATTAATCACTGGAATGAAGACAAAACAATTCTGTTTCACAAATGTGTATTCAAAGCTTTAATATTTGCTTTTTGTGCGAAATACTGGAGACTTACATCTTCGGTCCTTATTTAATTTCTTTTTGGTGGAAGTGCTAACAACTCATTACCATCTTAAACATGACACAGTTCCCTTTGTGTAAGGGTTCACAAACTAAAAACATCAAGAACCACTGGTTAAATTTTTAACAATTTATTGTGTTATTAAGGCTTTTCATATGTTTCTACATTAAATCTTAATGTTACAATACCAGTGAGCACAACTATGAAATAAATGTCCAGTAGAATAAATATTTCCTTATTATTTACTTTGAAAAATGGCTGTGGATTTGAAGTATAAAATACCATAAAATGGAATTCCTAAAGTACAATAACTTTCAGTTTTTCTTAAATACTTTACATTCTCTGCTTGTATTGTAGAAATGTGTATCGAAAACTATAAGTAAACTTGGTTTTCTATTTTAATTTCACTCTCAAACCTGAGTTTAGGGCCTAGACAATATTCTTTAACAGTCAGCGGTGGCTTCCTTCCACACAGGTGTTGAATATTTAGCAGGTGAGTCAGATGGGTCAACACATTTCTGGCTCTGACGTCATGTGACAGTTTGCGTAGTGCAAAAACCACTTTACTCTGAATTTTTAAACTGTTGAGATTAAAGTCTCAGAGAAAATGTCTCCTCACACTGAATCCTTTTCTTGTTTCAAGGAAGTACTGCATCCAAGTGGCTGTGAGAAGAAATTGCAATGTTGTGTGTCTCGGAGCTTTTTATGTCACAGACCATCCGGAAGACAGGACACAATCTGTAAAAAGATAAGGCACATGGGAATATCAACAGATAAGTAACTAGCTGTAACTACACTCACCGTTTTAAATTGTCGATAGTAAAATGTAATTAAACTGCACCTTAGTTTGAGAACTAAAGGATTAGGCTACAGGACTTTAATCATTTAAAATGGGTCAACATCACTGAAATAAAGATTTCCTGTTAGCTGCCTTTTTAAAATTTGTACACTAAACAATGTTAGGTGGAAAATAATTATGGATCAAACAAGACAATCATAAAATAATCATGAGTGTCTTATGCTGAATGAATCAAAGTAATCACTGTAAAATGATGATTAGCCATTCAGCTTTGATCCTCGCTCAATACCATTAAAAATATTTACACACTCTAAATCTAATAACTGACTAGATAAGAACATTTACCCATGTAACCACCTGAGGAACCAGTGGAATATTAATAACCTGCTTCCCTGAGCCACTGTTTATAGAAGCAGTTTAATCTCCTGTTGAAAGTTGGTCAGAGTTCTTGTTTCTTTTCTGACCTCTCACAACAAACACTCATTACATTCCCAGTAACTGCTGGATTTTTTTTTTTTTAAATGAAGCTCATAAACAACCTGATAAAGGTAAAAGTAAAACTTTACTGGCTCATAACAGTATAACGCTGTAGTAAAAGCAAATGTTCCTGTTTGTTCAGATGGGAATGGGCAAACAGCCGTCCTTCATTTCATACAGTTTAGTACCTGTTCCCTGGAGTGTGAGCGATTGTATGACTGAGCTTTATCACCAAACAAGACAAGAAGAGAAGAAGAGTCACTCTAATTTTAGTGGTGTTATAGCTCTTATTAACAGCTACTGGTGTTGACACTTCATATTTAAAGGGTTTAATTGAAGTTATAGTCTCAAGTGTTTTAATACTCAGACTTTAGAGTGCTGACCGAACATGGCTTTTATTAGACTATAAAAGTCTGTACAGTATGTGTCAGGAAGGGCTGAGACACAGTAAATATTAATCACCACTGTAGAAGAACTGGATAAATGTTTAAAACGGGGTTTATAATGAGTAAATACTGATGAGTAATAGTGTTAACATTAGTGCACTTTATTTACAAAGCATGGGGATGTTTAGGAAAAATACACTTTACTCTTTTTTGTAGCTTCTAAAAGTGTCAATATACACAACTGGGTCATGCAGCAACAAGCAAAAGAAACTTCATATTTTTATGAGAACAGGTAATGTTCTGCTAAAGAGACTGGTCAAATTGATGACTGAACCAAACCTTTCTGTACCTGGAATGCAGATGATTTAGTGACATATCATCAAATGTATGAAGTAAATGAGCATTAACATTCCTTAAATGATGACTTGTTCAGTAGGAACTCATTAGTGAAGGCCATAGTCACCTGATCATTTGATAATGAAGATTAACAGGAGCTCATGATACATCTTGCTACAATTAATGCATTAAATTGTTATGAATCATGCATTAGTTAATCATCACTTAAGTATATAATGCTACCCTTATTATAAAGTGATACCTAATTTCCTCTTTATATTATGTGATCTTTAACCTCAAATCCAGTTCTTCTTTCAGTGCATGTGATGACACTGTATCCAGTTTCTATATCCAATATGCTTCTTGTTACAAAAGCTATGAACATTTTCCACTACCTTGGAGAATTACACTTGAAACTGTATGTCTGGGTTCAAAACCAGCAGTTTAATCCATAATGAAGATAATTAGCTGTGGCCCTCCTCAGCCAGCTACAGTAGTAAAAAGTTGCTTTAACATTATATAATTTTGCTTTTAGTAAAGTGAAGGAGCCTGCCCCAGCACTGACAGGTCCACCTTGACAAGAGACTTCCGGGCGCTGCACACTGTTCTGACATCTGCACTGTCACCCTTGCAGCCAGCAGAGGGCGGTAGAGATGCATGATCATTTCTGATAATAAGTTGTGATTGAAAATGACGCAGACAGGACGCTTTGAGTCCAATATGTTGTGCACAGAACCATCCTCCACTCATGTCTCTACTACGTTTTGATTCTGCCGGTTCTCCTTCAGTGACTGTCAGCTGCACAGCTGCACCGGACGGATCTGTGTCTCTATCTCCAGCTGTGCGGCTCCAGTCCCGCAGGCAGGGTCGGCCATGTTGTTGTGTGGGGGTTGATACAAGTTTAGTAGTAGGAAGTAGAGGCTGTAAAGAGCTAAGGATACTTTCTCTGACTTTTTTCCGGCCACGGTCATGTCGCCGCTGCATCCATCCCGTCCGACCTGTGCGCTCTGACAACAATGACCGTCTCCTCCACCGGCTCCGCCACCGTTACGCACTGTAACAGTCCAGCTGCTTTGTTTTAACTCCAGCACTAGATCTAATCACAGTTGCTCTGCTGGATGGATAGAGTGAGGATGAAGACGGTTCGATCCCAGCTGGAGCAACTCGGATTTGTCTCTCCCCCTAGGATCTGATTCAAGTGGAAGGAAAAAGGAGAAACCACCCAAGAAGGACGCGGATAGTGAAGGTAAAAGCCCAAATGAAATACAGTACTGTAGGTTTGTGTTAGAGCAGCAGGATCAGATAAGGATGGGCCGAAACGCTGCAGCCGCTCGCCTGTCCGACCTGTCACCGACAAAGGAAGGAAGCTTTATAATAAGATAAACAGAAATCCTGTTCATCTGCAGACTGTAGTTTAAAGTGCGCTGCATTACAACGTTCAGACATAAATATCAGCGGATATACAGCATGTGCTTCAAGTCCCTGTGGAATACGAGTGTAACCATACGGGATAGGGAGATAGGGCCATTATACCACAGATAGATGACATTATAGTATCACCATAGCGATTTAAATGTTAATGGGTTCATGTTCAGTTATCACAGACATGAAGGTTAACTGTTATTGAAGAATTGTGGCAGAACAGAAGGTTAAAAGTTAAAATATGGTGTGATACAGTATGAATAGACAGATTTGTTGTAATTTTCATAAACCTTTACTCTAAAAATTCATTTTTTTATCTGTTTGCCCACTTATTGATTTAACTGATTTCAGTGTGCCCAGACACATCAGGCTGAAGGGCCACCTCATCACTGAAAATATCTAGCCACATCTTGACTCATGCAGATTCAGATGAGGTGAGATCAGGCTTTCTGTGTCACTTTGTGAAGTTGCTTTATCATTATTTGTGAGGGCAGGGTCTGGGGGATTGTCCTCAACATCCACAGTGTTTTTTTCCAAGCCTGCAAAGTTAACTCACCGACTGTCATGCTTCAAGTGGCTGCCAGATAAAGGCTATGGCTCAGCACTTCCTCATAACTGTGAATGAAGTGTTTTCTTTTTTTTTAGAGGCAGATACACTTGGAGTGAAGGAAGTTAATGGGGAATACCAACATTTGTAAGATGTACCTTACTATATATACCATTACATATGTACCAAGTGCCCAGCTCACAAAAAGAGAAAAGAAAAGTAGGTAAAATTTAGCTTTGTGTTCATTTATCCTACCTTAGGTCCTAAGCTATAAGGTTATCCACTTTATTTAAATGTGTCTTTACTGTATGTTATGGCTCAACAAACAGGGATTCATGGATTCACCTTTTCTTTCTCAGCACTCCATGAAGGATATTTGCCAACTTAATCTGACACTAGTCTTATACTTTCTTTACAAATTTGACATCAGTATACCATTCTGCATGGAAGTCGTTTACTGGAAATAATTTTTATGTAACACAACATAAGGCGTGGGATTGCCAAATTATGTAACTCATAACAGAAACATTGACATTTAGATATAAACTGTATTTCATATGGATTTGTCACATAATGGTTGACACTCTCACAAGGTCAGGACCCTTTGTACTGAATTAGCACATCCCTATGATCAAGGTTACTGTACCATCTAATCTACTTGTATTCCTGGAAGGCGTAGTCTAAGTTTGGTGCAGCTGGTGAAAACACTGCAAATGTGTAATGTGACAAATATTTTTCTTAGTGGGGAAGCACAGTCATCATCCTTACAAACTGCTGCCAGACTAACTGGTCCACTGTTCTAGAGTGGTTCCACTGGGAAGTTCCCAGCTCTGAGTAAACATTCAACAGCTGAATAATCTGCCTCACCCTGCAACTAATCATTCATCACTTTTAGTAAAATGTTCCACTGAATGATTAGGCAATATTAGAAAAACACAAGCAAAGCAAAGGAAGCAATTGGCTCTGCTTGTGACAGTGTATTAAATCCTTTAGGGTTCTGCCACTTAGGACCAAAAATCTAATTAATTACACATATACATATTGGATGAGCACTTACAATTTGTCTTTTTTTATTTTATTTTCTATACCAAAGCTTATGAGCAGGCCACTTGCACACACAGACATTTTGGGCTGTGCTTTCTCTAGCATGTGAGGGAGCTGTGAGCACTCTGCACTTACATATGAAACTTCAATTGAAAAATGTGATGTTTTATGATCAAATATCCTAAGATGATCTTATCAGTGGTCACTGTGGTTCAGTGGGTTTGGATATGAAAGCTTCCAACATATCAGTGCAGCACACTGTTGCCTCATCTCTGAGTCAAAAGCTGGATTTTTGAATAGTTTTTTCCAGAGGAAATAGCCCAGTCCAGTCACAGTCGATGCTGAGACTTCAAACCCCTGGCCCAGTTATGTGGTGACAAGTGGATGATTGTAGACAAAGTGAGATTCCCAAAATAGCTTACGCTTACTCAAGACCCAGGTGCCAGCATTCAGCTTTTCCCATTAGAACAACTATAAATGTGTGATGTCTGTTCTCTGGCAGCACAGTAACCAGCAACCAAACCAAAAATCTGTGAGAGAGTTTTTACATGTGATCAGGTCCAGTGAAATAAAATATTAACTTGTATATCTGAGATAGGTTCTCCTCTGGACTGAAGTATTGATAAGGAAGCTGAGGAATTGGCCTGCTATTTTTAAAATATGAACAGTCAAGCACTCTCAAGTCGTTCTTTTGTTTTACAGCAAAGAGCTTCAGGCTGTTTGTAGTATTTCACAAAGCAAAGGCTTTTACAAGTCTTTTCGTGCCCTCAAACTTTCCTAAAACCCAGTGCAGTGTAAATCTCATTTTGAAACATTCATTGGAGTTTCTCCTGACAGTCTGAGGCTTTACACCCCGACTGACATATAACATTTCTTCACACCCAGTTTTAAAGCTTTGGCATCAGAGGAATGTGGTGGATCGTGGCAGGCAGCATCTGTTGCACATCAGAGACCCTCTCTGTCTGCAGCCGCTAGCAGTTGTCGAACAAGATGCTGGGCTGGGTTTTACTCAGACCGCTGGCTGCACCATCAGCTTGTATCACTCCTAGTCAGTCAGACGTCAACTTCACTGGAGGCTGTGTGATCCAGTGAGATGCTAAAAGGACCACTGGCTTATACTTAATCTATAGCACATGCCAATTTTAAAATGCACCTTAGTGTTGCATATCTAAAAAGAAAGGTTTAAAATACATCTGTTCAGTTTATTTTCATCCCATAATGTTTACTTCACTCTCACATCTTGTACTGTAATGTTACCCACCTGATTCCATCACTCTTACACTTCTCCACATCTTCTAAGCTGAAAAAGTCAAGCTATTGATCGATCTGCTGATTATTAGGTGTTGCTTAGTCGTTTAAAAATATGTTTTTCAGCAGTCACTCAAAAAGATGTTCAATTTAAAGTGATATAAAAAGGGAAAGCCACAAATTTTCATATATTAAGAGTTTTAATCAGTGACATTTTGGTGTCATGGCTCTAGGGGCAGAAATGAAGGTCTGTCAGTCGGCCAATCCACCATTTTGCTCCAGACACGAATAACACAACAACTATCAGATGGATTTGCATAAAGTTTTGTACATTAACAGTTACCGGAGGATGGAGCCTCATTACTCTGGTGATGCCCAGACTTTTCTCTAGCACAACCATCAAGTTGACATTTGTGGTTGTGAGCGAGATGTTTGAGATGCATTACTCTGAAAATTGGTACAGATGTTCATGTTTCTGTCTCTGTAAACTGGAAAAGCTTTTGTGATTTTGGTTTAGCACAAAATTCATTTCTCATCAGCCTCAAGTGTATCTCGTCAGCGTTCTAACACAAAAACTAAGAAGGTGAACATGGTAAACCTACGTGCCAATTTAAGATTCATTCCAAAAGTCAAAAGCACTCAATTAAATCCATATAAGAAAAGTGCCAAATCCTCACATTTCAGAAGTTGGAAAAAATAGATTTTGAGGAATTATTGCCTGATAAATCATCAAAACAAAAAAATCAATGAATGGGCTAATTGCATATTCTTTGAAAGTGGGCTTTACTAAATAAAACTGTAGTAGCAGTTTCTAACCTTCGGGACTATGAATGCAGATAAAATCACCCTCAGATAACCATGCATTTGCACCTTACTCATCTTTATTTTGTCTCTACAGCTGGCCTTAAAATTCTGAACCATGCATCTTCACTATTTTAGTTATCAGAGAGTGACGGAACAAACTGAGCTCTCCTCTGCCTTATCAGCATTTTGTGAAGCCTGTGTGGAATTGTCCCTCTGTGATCAGAGTAGGGGAAGGCAACTGTAGACGAGCTGTTGGAAGTTAGAAAGACTGCAGGTCTGAATCTTCGCTATAACACAGAAATATGTAAAGATCCTAGTTTGAACAGTTTTAGTAAATGTTTTCTCCCACAGCCGATGGTGGAAGCTGATTCACTGTGGTCTGGTTTTGGTTTTGTACACTGCTCTTTCCAGTAGGTCATGTAGGTACGCGCTGGCTGAAATCAGGATTATGTGAGAAGATGTAAAGTTGACAAATGAAAATTAACCGCAGGCACTAAAGCTTGTAGAAGAAAGAGCATGAGAGACTCTCTCGAAAGCAGTCCCAGAAACCTGCACACGTCAGCAAACACTTATTGTTTAAAAGTGTGAGTAATGCATAACGGTGTTGATAACTGAATAACTACTGTACCTACAATAACTGCAGATTTACAGACAAAATCATTAGTTAATCAATCAATAAAAAGATTGATAGTTGCAGCCCTTGCTCAAAGACTTTATAGTATTCATATGAAAGTATAAAAATTCAGTTTCTTGCTTTGCTCGCTTTGTGATAACCAAATCTCACAGTGTCTTTCTTCATTTTCCTCCTCCTGCTATCAGGTGGTGTAGTTATCATGTTTCTGGCAGTTGACAGCAAGTATCTGCCCTGCTGATATATTTTTTTTAGGTTTTTGTGTTTTTCCTACAAATGCTCATCATTCTGCTGTTCACACCAAAGAAAAGGCTCGTGCCAGCACTGATTACGTCTCACATATATTTGCAAAAAGAACATGCATCTTTGTTTTTAACATTTACAGTCAATTTGGCTGAAGAAAGAGAATTTCCTGCATTCAGCAGATCATTTCACACAGTCTGTTCCAAATCACAGTGCATTGACTGAAGCTGAATGGGAAATCCAGCTGACTTTGTCCTAATTTTCTGTCTCTATCTGCAGCACTAAGACAATGGCGCGATGCTTCTCCAATCAGATACAAGAAGCAGCTTTTGTATATACAGTGTATGGCTGTTTGGTGATGATGTAAACTTTCTCTTTTAAACTCTCCACCTTCCTACTCAGTATGTTTTCATAGCTAAAGCTAGTGCAACCAAATTCCCATGTTTGTATAGTGTTGTAGGTCATGTTAGCTTCCTGGGGGCAGTGGACGAGATGTTGTTAGTAGTTACAGTGAGTTACTATAAATAGCAGCGAAGCAGATTTTCCTCGTGGTATCATGGCTCTGCTGTTCAGGAATGATCTTGTGCTGGACTCAATAGACTTGGATGTAAAAGTCAGTGTGACACTTAACATCCACTACAGAACCATCTGGCCTTTTCAGACGCTTTTCATTGTGACTGCTTCTTCTTTATGACCTTAATTGCCACTGAAAACACATTTTTTGCATTGTGTCATTTTCACCTTATTCAGTATTGTTGCATCCTCCCCGTGGTGCTGCAATCTAATCTGTAGACAAGGACAGAGTGTCATTATATGATGGCTGGCACATTTAATCAACATGGCACTCACAGAGCTTATGCAGACTCCGGGGAAAGCCAAGAGTCCACCAGAGCCCTCAGACAGAGGTCCTCCGCTTTTTGTATGAACCTGACAAATGTTAAAGGTCACTACAGGCTAGACTGGCCATGTGCAGGCCGAGTCAGGAGTCAGCAGTGTTTCAGCTCCAGGACCTGGTGATCAGTCCGTTTTTCTGCTATTATCATCTAAGGGTAAATCCTCCCTCCTCTTAATCCTCCTAATAGTTCAAGCTGGTAAAGCTGGTAAAGCTGGCACTGTCTGCATGGGTGCCCCCTCCCAATCCGACCTGCTGCCTCTCTATCTGTTTCTCTCTTTATTCACAGTAGAGGTAAATCATTATCTCGCTACTAATGGTAATTTTATCAGTTGTTTTGCTCTGCTGTGCTCTGCTTATCTATCATGTGACTTAGTGATACATAAATAGTGTTTTAGGTGTGTGAACAGTAATTATTTGGCTTAAGTAATATGAATTTAATAACATTTCTTTAGAAAAATCTGTCATCTTTGATGTAGAGTGTCATTTTAGCTCAGCTGCCTGTAAAAATTGTGCTTTATATCACTTTTATAACATTTTTAACACTGCTAATGCCAGCATGTTAACATGCCCACAGTGACAATGCTAAGATATAAATGTTTGGTAGATATAATATTCAAATTAAAGTTGTGGCCCAGGGATGGTGCTACAGTAGATTAAAAAAAGTTATTATAGTGTTCTCCTGAGAGAACTTTCATTTCTGTACCAGCAGAATCTATGGCAATCCACTAGTTGTTGGCATTTTTCAGTTCATACCAAAGTGGTGAACCAACCATCAGGCCGACCGTCAGTGGCGTTGTGTAAGAGAGTAGAACTATGTCTTTAGTATATAGCCAAGAGTAGGGACATGGCAGGGAAAAACAAGAGACACAAGGA